GCCCGGCCGCTCCGCGGCATGTGGGATCTTCCTGGACCAGGGCACGAACCCATGTCCCCTGCATTGGCAGGCGGACTCTCCACCACTGCGCCACGAGGGAAGCCCCTTGTTGGAATATTTTTAATCACAGTTTCAATTTCAGTGCTTGTGATTGGTCTGTTTATGTTTTCTATTTCTTCCTGGTTCAGTCTCGAAAGGTTGTGCTTTTCTAAGAATTTGTCCATTTCTTCCAGGTTGTCCATTTTATGGGCATATAGTTGCTTGTAGTAATCTCTCATGATCCTTTGTATTTCTGCAGTGTCAGTTGTTACTTCTCCTTTTTCATTTCTAATTCTGTTGATTTGAGTCATCTCCCTTTTTTTCTTGATGAGTCTGGCTAATGGTTATTCAATTTTGTTTATCTTCTCAAAGAACCAGCTTTTAGTTTTATTGATCTTTGCTATCATTTCCTTCATTTCTTTTTCACTTATTTCTGATCTGATCTTTATGATTTCTTTCCTTGTGCTTATTTACTTTGGGGGGTTTTTGTTCTTCTTTCTCTGTTGCTTTAGGTGTAAGGTTAGGTTATTTGAGATTTTTCTTGTTTCTTGAAGTACGATTGTATTGCTATTAATTTCCCTCTTAGAACTGCTTTTGCTCCATCCCATAGGTTTTGAGCCATCGTGTTTTCATTGTCATTTGTTTCTGGTATTTTTTTAATTTCCTTTTTGATTTCTTCAGTGATCTCTTGGTTACATGGTAGCGTATTGTTTAGTCTCTATGTGTTTGTATTTTTTACAGTTTTTTTCCTGTAATTGATATCTAGTCTCATAGCATTGTGGTTGGAAAAGATACTTGATACGATTTCAGTTTTCTTAAATTTACCAAGGCTTGATTTGTGACCCAAGATACGATCTATCCCGGAGAATGTTCCATGAGCACTTGAGAAGAAAGTGTATTCTGTTTTTTTTGGATGGAATGTCCTATGAATATCAATTAAGTCCATCTTGTTTAATGTATCAATTTAAAGCTTGTTTTTCCATATTTATTTTCATTTTGGTTGATCTGTTCATTGGTGAAAGTGGGGTGTTAAAGTCCCCTACTATTATTGTGTTACTGTCAGTTTCCCCTTTTATGGCTGTTAGAATTTTCCTTATGTATTGAGGTGCTCCTATGTTGGGTGCGTAAATATTTACAATTGTTATATCTTCTTGGGTTGGTCCCTTGATCATTACGTAGTGTCCTTCTTTGTCTCTTGTAATAGTCTTTATTTTATTTATTTATTTATTTATTTATTTTTTGCGGTACGCGGGCCTCTCACTGTTGTGGCCTCTCCCGTTGTGGAGCACAGGCTCCGGACGCACAGGCTCAGTGGCCCTGGCTCATGGGCCCAGCTGCTCCACGGCATATGGGACCTTCCCGGACCGGGGCACGAACCCGTGTCCCCTGCATTGGCAGGTGGACTCTCAACCACTGCACCACCAGGGAAGCCCTTTATTTTAAAGTCTGTTTTGTCTGATATGAGAATTGCTACTCCAGGTTTCTTTTGATTTCCATTTGCATGGAATATCTTTTTCCATCCCCTCACTTTCAGTCTGTATGTGTCCCTAGGTCTGCAGTGGGTCTCTTGTAGACAGCATATATACGGGTCTTATTTTTGTATCCATTCAGCTACTCTGTGTCTTTTGGTTGGAGCATTTAATCCATTTACATTTAAGGTAATTATCGATATGTATGTTCCTATTACCATTTTCTTAATTGTTTTGGGTTTGTTATTGTAGGTGTTTTCCTTTTCTGTGTTTCCTGCCTAGAGAAGTTCCTTTAGCATTTGTTGTAGAGCTGGTTTGGTGGTGCTGAATTCTCTTAGCTTTTGCTTGTCTGTAAAGGTTTTAATTTCTCCATCGAATCTGCATGAGATCCTTGCTGGGTAGAGTAATCTTGGTTGTAGGTTTTCCCTTTCATCACTTTAAATATGTCCTGCCACTCCCTTCTGGCTTGCAGAGTTTCTGCTGAAAGATCAGCTGTTAACCTTATGGAGATCCCCTGTATGTTATTTGTGCTTTTCCCTTGCTGCTTTTAATATTTTTTTCTTTGTATTTAATTTTTGATAGTTTAATTAATATGTGTCTTGGCATGTTTCTCCTTGGATTTATCCTGTATGGGACTCTCTGTGCTTCCTGGACTTGATTAACTATTTCCTTTCCCATATTAGGGAAGTTTTCAAGTATAATCTCTCCAAATATCTTCTCAGTCCCTTTCTTTTCCTCTTCTTCTTCTGGAACCCCTATAATTCGAATGTTGGTTCATTTAATGTTGTCCCAGAGGTCTCTGAGACTGTCCTCAGTTCTTTTCGTTCTTTTTTCTTTATTCTGCTCTGTGGGAGTTATTTCCACTATTTTATCTTCCAGGTCACTTACCTGTTCTTCTGCCTCAGTTATTCTGCTAGATTCCTTCTAGAGACTTTTAAATTTCATTTATTGTGTTGTTCATCACTGTTTGTTTGCTCTTTAGTTCTTCTGGGTCCTTGTTAAATGTTTCTTGTATTTTCTCCATTCTATTTCCAAGATTTTGGGTCACCTTTACTATCATTACTCTGAATTCTTTTTCAGGTAGACTGCCTATTTCCTCTTCATATGTTTGATCTGGTGGGTTTTTACCTTGCTCCTTCATCTGCTGCGTATTTCTGTGTCTTCTCATTTTGCTTAACTTACTGTGTTTGGGGTCTCCTTTTTGCAGGCTGCAGGTTTGTAGTTCCTGTTGTTTTTGGTGTCTGCCCCCAGTGGATGAGTTTGGTTCAGTGGGTTGTGTAGGTTTCCTGGTAGAAGGGCCTGGTGCATGTGTTCTGGTGGGTGAGGCTGGATCTTGTCTTTCTGGTGGGCAGGACCGTGTCCGGTGGTGTGTTTTGGGGTGTTTGTGAACTTAGTATGATTTTAGGCAGCCTCTCTGCTAATGGGTGGGGTTTTGTTCCTGTCTTGCTAGTTGTTTGGCATGGGGTGTCCAGCCTTGGAGCTTGCTGGCCATTGAGTGGAGCTGGGTCTTACCATTGAGGTGGAGTTCTCTGGGAGAGCTCTCGCCAATTGGTATCACATGGGGCCAGGAGGTCTCTGGTGGTCCAATGTCCTGAACTTGGCTCTCCCACCTCAGAGGCTCAGGTCTGACCTCTGGCCAGAGCACCAGGACCCTGTCAGTCACACGGCCACGTATGTGGGGAGTTTCTTGCATTTTGGGAAGTCTCACGTCTTCTGCCAGCATTCAGTAGGTGTTCTGTAGGAGTTGTTCCACATGTAGATGTATTTTTGTTGTATTTGTGGGGAGGAAGGTGATCTCCACGTCTTACGCCTCCGCCATCTTGAAGGTCCTCTCAGTCATCCTGTTTTTTGTTTTTTTTTAACTTATTTTTAAATTGTGAGGTTTCTGCATTTTTTAACCACATCCCCTTACCCTTGAAAAGTGAGGTCAAACCTTTAGGAATAATAATGAGATGGGTGTTAAATTTCTTTGCCTCCCTTACAATCCCTTCAGTTCACCCTCTAAACATCCATAAGTAGCATTGATTGAGTCTGCCCACAGGTTAATATATCTTCCCCAAACAGTTCTTTGTTCAAAATTAAGCCATTCAAAGTGCTCTTTAAAGTGAGAGGCATTATAAGGACTCAAATATAAGGTGACTCCTCCTTTTCTGAGGAATAATTTGAGGAACACATCTTACTGTACATTCAGTGACAAGTGGAACTTTAGAGCCACACTTTCTAGGTCAATAGCCATATTAAAAGCCTTCATAGACAGCAGTGATGCAGCTTGTGTGCCTGAGGCCTAGCCATCGAGAAGCCCTCTGCTTCTCCTGGGGTCAAATTTTTGTGTAACACTTCAGAGTATCATATTGTCATTTGCTGCTTTCCCGGTTTTTTTTTTGTTTTTTTGTTTTTTTTTTTATGCTGTACCCGGGCCTCTCACTGTTGTGGCCTCTCCCGTTGCGGAGCACAGGCTCCGGACGCACAGGCTCAGCGGCCATGGCTCACGGGCTCAGCTGCTCCGTGGCATGTGGGATCTTCCCGGACTGGGGCACGAACCCGTGTCCGCTGCTTTTTTTTTTGTTTTTTTGTTTTTTTTTTTATGCTGTACCCGGGCCTCTCACTGTTGTGGCCTCTCCCGTTGCGGAGCACAGGCTCCGGACGCACAGGCTCAGCGGCCATGGCTCACGGGCTCAGCTGCTCCGTGGCATGTGGGATCTTCCCGGACTGGGGCACGAACCCGTGTCCGCTGCATCGGCAGGCGGGCTCTCAACCACTGCGCCACCAGGCAAGCCCTGCTTTCCCATTTCTAACAGAGATAGAATAATAGCAGTAGATGAGAGGAAAGCTTTGCTAAATGTGGATAAGCCTGCAAGATAGTTTAAAGCAGGGGTTGGAAAATTATGGCCCATGGGCCAAGTCCAGCTCACCGCTTGCTTTTGTAATTAAAGTTTTGTTGGGAACACAGCCACATCCATTTATTTATCTATTGTCTATGGCTGCTTTCATGCTGTGATAGTAGCACATTGAGTAGTTGTGACAGATACTGGTCCAGACTGAAAACCTAAAAACACTGAATCAATGGCCCTTTCCAGAAGAAAATTGCTGATCCCTGATTTAAAACATAAACACTGAGTCAGCAGATCTGGGTTCTGTTCTTGGCTCTGACACTTAATGGTTGTGTGATGTGGGGCCAGTTACTCAATCTCTCTGAGCATCAGTGTCCTCCCTTAAAATGGTGATAACATCGGGTTTCCCAAGATGAAAAGGAAATAGTGCCTGTAAAGTATTTAGAATGGTATCTGACACATGGTAAGCACCCATTAAATATTAGCTGCTTTTATTGTTGTTCTCATGGTGATGTTATTCTTCGTAATTGCACCTTCTTTCTCTCAACATGCGTTAAATGGTCACTAATAGGTTTAAGTGTTTTGTTTTCCCGAAGGAGACAAGACATAAGGGACCAAGTGGAGCCCCACCTGAAGCTTGGGTTTCTCTGTCCTTTTCCAGGTCTCACTTACCTTGATGACCTGCTGCCCAAACTTTGGGCGTTTATCTGTGAACTGGGGCCCCACGGAGGCTTAAAGCTCTTCTTGGAATGCCTCAGCAATGACACTGAAGAGTCTAAGCAGCTCTTGGCCATGCTGATGCTGTTCTGTGACTGTTCCCGGCACCTCATCACGTAGGTTGACTGCTGTGGGGCTGAATTCCTTTCCTAGAATGTGGAGAGACCAAATTACAGTGTCAGCAAGGAAGCAATTGTTAATGTGATTACTGCAAGCATTTGGACCTGTCATTAGAAGAATTAGACAGGACATTTACAAAATGGTTGGCACTTAGTAGGGATTCAGCAGTTGTTAGTTCCCATCCTTTCAGGAGAGCTGGGTCATTACCACTTGATGTGGGCTTTGGGGTCTTCTAGAGCTCGGTTCAGATCACACCTCGGCTATTTACTCACTGTGCTAGGTAGTTAATTGGAAAATTCCAGAGCCAGTGTGCAGAACCTGGCTCAGCCACTCACTGAGACACCCTGGGCCAGAGGGGAAGGGGCTCCATCTCTTTGGGCCTCAGTTTCCTCATCTATAGATAGGAATTCATAGCACCTACCTTTTAGCCGTGTGGGAAGGTACAGAAGAGATCAGTGATAGGCATAGTCCCAGGCACCGGAAGCAGTCAGTATGTGTTGGCTGTTATTCTTACAACTATTGTCAAGCTGACCCTGGGCAAGTTGCTTAACCTGTCTGAGCCTCAGTTTCCTCAACACTGGAATTGGAGGCATATTACCAATCTGATAGGGAGTAAATGAGAAAAGGAATGTCAAGTGTACCTAGTACAGTGCCTGACACAGTGAGAAATTAACAAATGTTAGTCCCGTTCAGTTCCTTTTCTTTAAGCTTATGTGTCTACTTGAGTATTTGGTATTCTTTTAATTCCACTTTTTCCCAAAAGGTTGGTGAAGAATTGTAAGATAGAATGGACCTCAGGAAGTTATATTCGGTCTGGGAGAGATTGGCAGGAGGGGATTAGGGGTATGTAGGTGGCAGATTGGGTATGAGTCATGGAGAGAGGGCCCAGTGAGTAGTTAGAGGGGAGAGCAGGGGTCTGTAGCTGCTGGTGACACCCCCTTAATTGCCTGGTCAAGGGTGACCCAAGAGTGAGTCAGGCTCTAAAGTGAATAGAGCAGTTATAGATTTTCAGATAGAGCTGCATCTTATGGTTCATTTATTCATATATTCTTTCAGACATTTATTCATTCACCCTCAAATACTTACCAAGCACTTACTCAGTGCCCCTAGTGTCTGTTACAGATGCAGAATAAGATTCCACAACTTCCCTCAGTAGACACAGAGTCTCAGTCAAGATTCCTTGATAATTCAGACATGAATTCATAAACAGTGTCACAGTCAGATCCTTATGAATAAGAAAAGGGTAGAGCAGAACGTGTTGTTTCTTTCCTTTCTTAATTGTATTTTTTAACTTCTTACTATAGACGATTTCAAATAAATAGAAAGTGGAAAGAATAGTATAATGAACCTTCACGTACCTGTCACCAATTTCATTAGTTAGTTATTGACTCGTGGCCACTCTTGCTTCATCTATACCTCCACCCACCCTTCCATCACATCCTTTTACCTGTAAATTTTATCTAACAGATAGAGCTTATTTCGTAACATTATTTTGTCTAGTATGAGGAATAGATCTTTTTTCCCCTTCTTTTTAGTGGGAAATTGTGAATAATTTTCTGTCTGACTTAGGATCCTTGATGACATTGAAGTTTATGAAGAACAGATTTCATTCAAACTAGAAGAACTGGTCACCATCTCCTCTTTTCTGAATTCCTTTGTGTTTAAGATGATCTGGGATGGAATCGTAGGTAAGGTAAAGATGTCAGCCGTTGTTTAATTGCTGCTACACATGGGAAGTCTAGAGCCTCTAACATCAGCTGATTCTTAGCCTTGTTGTCCATCAAAGCTAACTCAAAATGCACATTTATTCACATAGTTAGAAGTTTTATTTCTCCACTCTTTATGACCGCATAAGATAGTAGCGTGGTTATGGAAGTCTTACTCTCCCAGGCATCCTTCAGGATTTACATGTGTGTGTGAAGGATTATTCATGATTAATTTTGCCCTGAAACTCCTTTTGATTCTTTGAGTTGATTTTCATGAAGATAAAACACATGTCTGGTCCCACTTCAAGTTAGAATCTACCTCCTGAAGTGTTTCCAGTCGTTCAGCACCAAATTCCTTAGATTAAAAGGTCCTTTGGATGACATACAAGTGGGAGGCAGCGCAAGTGATTGTGTCTGAGACATTCCCGGGTCCCACAGGCCCTTAGAATGTACCCAGGGAGCCTTTTAATTCTGTTGATTCCATGTAACATTCAGCATGAGGGAGACGAAGAACTGCTGGGCCTCGGGGCTGACGAGAGGAGACACGGGCTATCCTCCTGTCCCCTCCAGTTCTGAGGCTCTCCTCGTTGTTTGCCCCACAGAGAATGCCAAGGGTGAGACCTTGGAGCTGTTCCAGTCCGTCCACGGGTGGCTGATGGTGCTCTACGAGCGGGACTGCCGGCGGCGCTTTGCCCCCGAGGACCACTGGCTGCGCAGGTGAGCATGGGTGGGAAGGGGGTTTACGGAGGCTGGAGTCCCCCTGTCTTGCCGCTGGCACCGTTGTGGCCTGATGCTCAGCGCTTATGTTTTAGGGCAGAGAGGACTTGGTCTGTCTTCTTCATCTTGTCTTTTCATCTGCATATGTCCCTATAAAGCACCTGTCAGGACAGGTCACCTCGCAGTTGCTTCTGTTAAGACACAGTACGCTGGAGATGATTAGAGCTCATTATTGGCAGCCAGAGCCAGCTCACATTGAGCAGATGTTTCATATGCAAACTGGAAAGAAAAGTTCTTTCAGCTGAACTAAGCAACAGGTTATGATCATTAAATGGCAGTTTTTATCAGCAGAATTAGAGGGATAAAAACCACAGGTCTGTTGGGGGGTAGGGTAGGGAAATCCTCTTGCAACAACTAAACATAAGATCATGTCTGCCTTTTTTAAATCAATGACAGATCAACTCTTATGTAACTATTGAAGTTGTGGCACTAGAATAGAGATTAGCAGACTTTTTCTGTAAAGGGCCAGACAGTAGATATTTCAGGCTTTGCCCACCAGACAGTGTCTGTTGCACCTACTCAACTCTGCCATTGTAGTGCGAAAGCAGCTAGAGACAGTACCTAATGAATGGGTATGACTGTTCCATTAAAATTTTATTTACAAAAATGGGCAGCAGGCTGGATTTGACCCAGAGGCTGTAGCTGGCCAACCCTGCACTAGAGGGTGGTTTTCTTGTTCTTTATCCCAAATCCATGTCTTTGTTTTTAAGGGATCTCAAACCTAGCGTGCTCTTCCAGGAACTTGACAAGGACAGAAAACGGGCTCAGCTGATCCTGCAGTACATCCCGCACGTCATTCCTCACAAAAATGTGAGTTGCACTCAGAGCTGGGGTCCTCCCACCAAGTTCCTGACTGTCCATTTTTGTTATAGCGATTATTAGAAATGAATAAAAACAATCATTCAGTAAACGCAGATGCTGACTGGCTCTTACTCTGTTGCAGCTGTTATGCCAAGTGCTGGGGGTGCAGAGATTGAAGACAGTGTGAACTGTCCATTTGGCTAGTGTGGGATGGATGCTACGGGGAGGGATGCCATGGGCATCCAGGGCAGGGGCTCAGGAGAAGACTCCACAGGTAGTCGGACTGTGCTTGCAGGCCCAAGGTGAGAGAGAATGTGGTGCCAAGGGAGAGCCGGGTGGAGTCAAGAAATGAAGCTGAGGAGGTTCATAGGAGCTGGAGCAGGAAGGGCCTCGTAACCCAAGGGTGGGAGCGTGGATTTTGTCCAGAGCCATTGGAGAGTTTTTAGCTGTGGAGGCACCTGGTCAGAGCTCTGCTTTAGAAAATTCCTTCTGGCCGTAGCGTGAAGGACTGGCGAGAGGCAGGTGTCATGGCCAACTGGCCTGAACTCGGGTGGGCCCACGGGAGTAGAAAGACAATGACATCAAGAGATTCTGAAGGAGGTAGCACCTCCAGGCCTTGAAGAACGATGGCACTCGGGGGGGAAGGAGAGGAGGAATTCAGAGCATGCTCAGGGTTCCGGCTTGGGGGCCTGGCTCCTCGAGAGGGCCATTCCCAGAGGTGGGGGCACAGGCAGGAGCGGGACTGGGAAGAGCCAGGAGCAGCCGACGTGTCTGCGGCTCCTCGAGGCCAGTGGACACAAGGGTCTGGAGTGCAGGAGAGAGGACGGGGCTGGAGGTGGACTCGACATGCGGACGGCTTGCTACCTCCTCGGTGCATTCGTGGATGAGGCTGAGGTGGTCAGAGAGCCAGAGGGAGTGAGCAGACCGGGGACGGAGGCCAGAGCCCTGCACGGGGAGAGGAGTGATCAGAGGAAGGAAGAAAACCGGGGTGTGTGGCATACAGAGCCACGGGGCGTGAGAGCCTTGGGAAGGGCCAGGTGCTGCGGCAGGGGCGCCCAGAAGATGAGGGGCGTCCCTGGTGTGTCGTGAGTGCTCCAGAAATGTCGGCTCCTTAGAACCCACAGGTGCCCTTTCCTTTCTCTCCTGACTTACTTAGTACTCCTCACTGTTCTCTGGTATTGTCTTGACCTTGATGTCATACTTGTGGTTGCCCTTCTTTACTGCCCCTCAAGCAGCGGTTCACAAACATGTGGCCGTTGAAATTCTTACTGGACCTGACAGCAGAGCCTCTCAGAAGGCTTAGACAGAACTAAGCCTCTCATGGAGATGACTTAGTCGCGCGCCCTCTATGCATGAGCCCCTTCAGCGGCATCCCTGCCCCTGCCTCAGATAGAGGATGCACAGCTTTGCAAAGCAGGCCATTGTATGGCTTCTGTCTTCCCAGTGGTGGAACATCCTTCCTTGTCTTACACGATCTTCCCTGTAACTTCTACCCTTTGGTCCTTGAACAGCCACTAAAAGTGGATGGTGTCATCTTCTGCGGTTTGCTTTCTGGGTGGTCTGTTTTCCAAGGGTGGTGCCCTTCCCTTCTCTAGCCAGTCCTCATTTGAAGTGGGTTCCAGCCCTTCACCTCGTGGGTCTAGTCCAGGTTGGTGGAATCTGACTTAAAATGCGGCTCCTCGCCCCGTTCCTGGGTGTCTGACTTCAGCCCTGGCCCACAGCGTCCTCACAGCGTCTGGTCTAGAATCTCCACTCCGTGTGTCCGCAGTTAACAAATGGTGCGCTGGGGCACCCCGGTTGCTACAGGATATTTTAATTTTTTGAGGGAAACACAGTGAAATCTGTTGGGCACCGTGCGAGGTACTTGCTTGAGTTCACAGTGTCAGCGTGAAATTCTGCTCCGTTCTTCTCGATGATGTCCTCTTTGCTAAGCTGGGTTTTAAAAAAATGAAATTAAAATATTTTTAATTTCAATTTATGCGTGTTTTTTAAATACAGCTACTAAGTTCTTAGGACATAAACACTTATTAAGTTGTTAGGACTTAACTGTCTACTAAATGGAACTGTTAGGTATTTCTTTTGACCTAAGATTACAGTAAGAAATATTACTGAGCCGTTAGGGGTGCTGAGAACAGGAAAGTCTGGGAAGCTCTGGGTTTAGCTGACCTGACTTAAGAGTCCAGGCTGTATGGTAATCCTCACCAAGGGGCGGGGTGGGGGGCGCTTAAGATCTACATCATGAAGATTATGAGCCATTCGTCCTTGGCTCATAAATCTCTTGCCTCCCTGGGGAAAATAGGGCCCTTCCTCATCTTCTGGCCCCTGTCCTGCTCCTGTGATGGCACCAGCAGGTCTGGGATAGTGTCTGAGGCTTGGCGTGTTTTCTGTGTCTCAGGCTTCCCCTCTCTCTTCACAGCGTGTGTGCTGTTCTCTTCCGGTGACGTTCTTACTGGGGCATACAGGGGGTGAAAGCCTCTCTCCAGGCCTGCGTTGTCTCTCTCATCTGTTACTGTTATGCCATCTGCCCTAGACACCGAACCTCTCCCTCATTCTTGATCCCACCTGAGTGGGTGGCTTATAGTGCCTTTATTGCTTTCCTTAATATTTTTAAAAGTCTCAGCTCTGCCTGGTTCACACACACAGCACTTCATCCTCTGTGCTCTCTTATGTTGCTTTTACATGTTTACATGCAGCTCATCTCCTGACTGGTACTTAAGGCCTCTCTCTCTCTCCCTCTCCCTCTCTCTCTCTCTCTCTCTCTTTCTCTCTCTCTCTCGCTTTGGCCTAGAAGGCCTAGGGCCACGTGTGGTGGGTAGGGCTGGGTAGTGTGGTGGTCTGTGCATGGGCCCTGGTCCCCCATGCACCAGCTGTGTGACCTTGCATGACAGTTTCCTCGTCTGCAAAGTGGGATGATGATCCTTACCTAGGTGTCCACTGTGCTCACTGAGGTCTCCTAGCCCCTTGAGAGCTGGTGAAAGTTACCCCAAACCTTCTTCCCTGCCCCACAGAGGTCCAGAGCCTCATCCAGTCTCTGCAATTCATGGGAGGCTGGCGATCTTGTGGTCACCTCTGTAGTTCTGCCTCTGTGTCCGCTGTCTCTGCTCCATACGGTGTTAACCTTGACAGGAGGCTTATCTTCTGCCTCAAGTTCCACAAGACAGCACCCCTCGTTCAGGTGATCGTGCTAAAGACTTGGGGGTCACGGGAAGCAGTCATGCCACATGGCCCCCCATGAGTTAAATACCTGTGCTTGTCTCCAGCTCCCCAGCACAGAAGGCAGAGGCGAGAGTCCCCGGCATGTGCCTCTCCAGCCACCCTCGCTGTCCTCAGCCCGCTCTCTCCCTTCCGCGTTGACCAGGAACCTCGAGAGCTTTTGCTGTTTTTCAGGGCACTTCAGTCCTAGTTTCTAGACTTGTAAACCAGCCACATGGCACCCCTTCACTGACTAGTCCCTCCATTGAGCACATCCCCCATCTCAGGAGGTTGTCGGCAGTGGCTTTTTCTGTCACCATATTTACTTCAGGAAGCTAATAGAATGATCAAATGAAAATGCAGTAGCCTCCCCTCGTGTATAGTTAGCTCTTATTACTACTGTTATTACTAGTGGCTGTTATTATTATTGCTGTTATTATTTGTATTTAACAATGCTCTTGACTTTGGGGAGATTTCCATTTTTCAGAAAAACAGCTGAGATTGGAGTTATTCGTTCATTCCGCTGACATGATTTGAGTGCTATTACAGGATGGGGCCAAAGGTCAATGCTCTCCTAAAGGAGCCTGTCAGAATCTTGAGAATGTGAGAGGGTTCTATTTAAATGATACTTGAGAAATATTACTTGTGGGACTGCGATGTGCTTGAGGAGACAGAGGAGGCAGGTTGAAAGGTCAGGGACCTTTATACTGTAGGGTCATTTACACATTTCTGACAGTAAAATATATATATCTTTGAAATGTTTCTGTGTTTTAAATTCATGCTATCGATTTCCTCTAAAGCAGGCATGGCTATATAAAGCACCCTCTGTAATGCATGCTGCCGCAAGGTTTTTACGGTGGATTATTGACTGAACAAGGAGAATGATTTTTCTCCCAGACTGTTCTTAGCTGGGCTCTGGCTGCAGCCAGACCACTCTTTCTGGAACCTTTCCCCTTGGCATGTATTCAGCTATATTTCTAATTCCCAAGAGCATTTGCGGGGAAGTTTACTGTCCTCACAAAACACTTCTAACCTGTAGCACACATCAAAGCATCCCATTCTGGGAGCCTCTCACGTGCTTACATTTCATTAATTTTGTACAGTGTGTTTTAGGGGATCCTCAGTTGTTGACCCCTTTATCGGTCTCACCTTTGCTCATTTCAGAGAGTTCTCCTGTTCCGAAACATGGTGACCAAGGAGAAGGAGAGACTGGGGCTTGTGGAAACCAGCTCTGCCTCCCCTCATGTCACTCACATTACCATCCGCCGGTCCCGGATGTTGGAGGTGAGAAGCCTGTTGGAAAGTGCGCTCTGTAAACCATAGGTTTTCTAGTGGGTGACCTGTTGCCTCTGAACTGTTCTTATCACTCCTTGATCTAATGACACTGAAGCCAGGGCTGTGGGTGCAGGAAGGGCCTGTTTGTCCTGCCAGCTGCTCTGAGCACTGCTTGATTAAACACGCCCCCAGTTCAGGAGACCCCAGCGCAGCATTTCCCTCCCTTTACCCCACGAGGTGAGAGTGGCCAACACTCTGTGCCTCTGAAATGAGGACAGACACGCTTATACCTGTGCAGACTCTGTCCTGGCAGGCGCTTTGCCCAGCCGCCCAGCTGTGAGTGTGGAGGCTGGAGTGCAGGTGTTAAGTTACTGAGCCATCCTGGGGAATACATCGATCACAGAGCTACACGTTCTTTTTGGACATAAACTTAGGAGCTGCACGTGAAGTGGCCCACCTATGCCAAACCCAGCGTCCAGGGTTCCTCCCATGAAGCGAATTTGTGTGACTTTGAAATAGGTGCCTGTCCTCAGGATACTGTCCTCCGTATATCAGGAAGTTGTCATGATATGTTGATTTTGCTGGAACAAGACCCTGAACATTGTCATAATAAATGCACACACCTGCAGTGTCTGCATCATGCCTGCCACACGCTCCTCTGGCATTGTGCAGTGTATGTGCACGTATGCTGATTGAGCCCCATGTCCCCATTCCCAGGAGCGGCTTGGCTTCGTTGATTTGCCCATGCTTGCTCTCTTGCCTTTCATCACACTCCAGCCACGGTTCCTCATTGGCATGTTCTGCAGCGTAGAACAGTCAGGGGATCCCGGACAGCCCGGGGCGGCATCACCAGCCATCAGCAAACGGCATTGGCAGCAGCCCTTCCTCCCCACGCGTTTTCATTTCTGCCTTGGGGCATTTGTGCTGTGTTTGTCACTCCTGGAGAACTTGTTTAAGTTCTCTGACCACTGGTGATTGACACTGAAAGCTGCCGGGGAAAGGCAGCAGGTGGTGAACAGATGATTTTGACATTCTCAAAAGTAAGGATAAGAAATGTAAGTGCCCCCAGGGGCCCTGCCAGTCATGGAGATGAGTAACGCTCGCTGAGAATGTCTCGGCTCGGGGCATTTTGTTTGCATGCTAAATGAATAGAAATATTCTCCACTTCCACTGCTTGCTCCCGTTTTTCTTCAAACACAGCCCTTGGACTGACCTCACAAGTGAGTTGATAAATGACAACTGACAACCAGCCTCAGTGTTGGGGCTGGTGGAGAACACATGCCTCTAAAAGAGGCCACCTGAGTATTGCCTTGTGGAGATTTGGGCTCTATAATGCTCCGGCTTGTTAAGAAAAGACCAAAATTTAGGGTTTTGTGTGAAATCCACAGATCCTTTGTGTTGTGAACTAGTCAGGTTTTGTAAAGTCCCTGGAAGGTCAGATAACACCTGTCTGCCCGTCAGATTCAACCTGCTGGCCACCAGCTTGCAGCCTCTGCTTTGACTCAAAGAAAACAAAGCCCAGTTGTGTTGTAGGAACTCACTTCTCCAGCACTTTCTTTGTTGGACCCAGATGCACCTTTCCTGTCTCTTAAACTCCTCCGTCCCACCGTCCGTCATACCCACTCCCATGTGGCCAGCACAATGGGGAGTCTGGGTGGTGGAAACTGTGGTGTCTCCTGAGAGTGACAGAATCCCCGATGCCCTCCTCAGGTGTCACTGGGAGATTTACCAGACACCCGCTTACCCTGGGCCAGCTTGTTTAAACACATCCCTCAGGGACGTCAAAGGAGGGATTTCTGTCTTAGATCTTAGGCAAAGTCCATTTTCCTCTTTACGTTCCATTGGGATAGATCCTGTCATGAAATTGATCACTGGTGTTCGTACTGAATTAGGAAGGAGAGAGGGTCATTGATTCAGTTACCCCAGTTCTCACGATTCAGTGGTTTGGGTATCAGAACTTGAGAGCCCAGTGGCCTTTGCTTGATTAGGACACAAGGGGGCATCAAAAAGCCGATATTTGACCCATGATATCCTGGGCTTTTATTCTGTCCCCTTGTTTATGGTTTGTACTGAAGGTGAGGCTTGTGTATTAGGCTTCCAGGTGATGGTCCAAAGTCCTGCAGGAAGGCCTCTCCGCACAGGGGTGAACGGGGACCAGAACACCAGCACTGCAGAACTAGAAGGAGCCGTGGACACACTATTGCTCATCCCTTTCCCCTCACCCCGTCAAAGGCAGGACTGAGGCCAGAGGAATTCAAGGTCACTCAGGTGTCAATGACAGAGCTGGGCCTGGAAGCCAGTTCTCCCATCCCCCTTCAGTGTTCTGTGCATCCGCTCTTTGAGATGCCGAAGAGAAGAGGAACGCCTAGTCCCCCTTTCACCTTCCCCCGGGGCACAGATCTAGAATCCTCCAGAGAGGGCAGTGGGGTGCAACAGGAAGTATGTCAGAGGAGGTGGGCAGCAAATTCCTCTCTACAGTGTTTCAAAGGGAGGCTAAAGTGGGGCTGATCCAGCAAAACTGAGATTTGAGTCCAGCAAACATTCCTGGAGCACATGCCATGAGTTTGACCACTTGCTAAGAGCTTTCACATGGACCATCTCGTTTAATCTGCATGACTCTGACACACCTCCTAACACATGCTAAGGTTAGGGAGGCATCATTTTAAAGCAGAATGGAGGAAGTCCTGCAGGCAGGGGCATGTTAGAATTCTCTCCCCGTCCCCACTCAGTGCCAAGATAATTACCTTACATTTAGGCAGAATGATTGAAACACTGCAGCAGCTGCCTTGGTGACTCCCTGTTTTTCTCTCCTTTTCGTCTAACTTAATGATTTTCATATTTCATGTGCCTAAAAAAGTACTTTTCAGGATTGTGCATTCAAAACCGTGTTCTTATTCATTCAGGTGATTTAGGGGACTTCAGAGGTAGTTTTTTTTCCCTGCTCACTAACTTTGGAACCTAACTCCTAAATAAGATGGGTAGGGTAGCCACCATGGCACAGGCTTTTGCATCAGTAGGTGAGCACAAGGAAAACATGATTGGCAGGAAGGCAGCAAGCGTTCCCCAAAATGGGTCTTGCCATACTGGTCTCATTTGCTTTGTGACAAGGAACCAGACTGGCAGGTGAGTGGGTGCTGTGGAGATGGCCTGTCTGATGTCAACAGAGCATCTGAGAGCACTGCACTTGTGCCTGAGGGGAGGAACGTGGGGTGGCCACAATAGGACATGGCAGCTGATTTGTAACCTATTCTGTGACAGTATCTAAAGACATCAGTTTGACCCTGGTTATGGGGCCTCTCAGGCTGGGCCAAAGTACTCCTCCCTGGGCCCTATCGTGTTCTAAGCACGGTTTTTTATAATCACTGCTCTGAAATGAAAGCCTAAGCAGCTTGCCCGTCAGCACCCACCTGCCAGGAATACATTTGAGGACAGGCTCTGGAGCCAGGAAGGCCTCGACAGATGAGAATCAAGAGATAGACTGTGCACGATGATTTAGCAGGAGAGCTCCAGAGTCATGTCCTAGCTTTCTGGACAGGGAGACATGCCCAGTGGCTGCGTGTCTCAAGGGAGTTGACCGCAAGCCGGAGGTGCTGAGGCCTCTCTTCCCACCACTTCTGCCCTCCTCCAGGCCCAGCGGCACTCCTGGCACCCATCTCCCTGCTCCCTGCCATCCCTCTGCTTTGCTTCCAACAGAAAAATCTTCCTAAGACAGAAAGCCAGCCATGTGACTCTCTGCATAAACTCTCCTGTGGCTCCCCAGCACCCTCAGGAAATAACCTGAATTTCCCAGCATGACTCACAGCCTTTCATGATCTGGGGAAAGTTACCAGGAGTTGAGTGGTGGGCGGCTACTCTGATTTTTCATCTTACAGCTTTCATCTTGCCTCAGCGTCTTCCGTCCTGTCTGATGACCGAGAGCTTGTCGTGACTCATCTTGTCTGATCTCTCCATCTCCCTGCTCTGCATCCTCCTGAGGGCAGTCTCCCCTTTCCAAAGAGTGGTAAAGTCACATCCCCAAAATGAGTTTTTCTTTAACAGGCTCTCGTCTAGAAGCAGGTGAAAACTGCTGGCTCTCCTCATGCACCCATGCGTCTGACACATTTAGTAATTACACTGGGAATGCTTCCCACAGGGGAGAGGGAGCTTTGAGGAGGGAGCCCTGAATTATGCAGAGGGCCTTGGGTTCCTAATGGGCGGTAATTCTGCCCTTGGCAGGACGGCTACGAGCAACTTCGGCAGCTCTCCCAGCACACCATGAAGGGCGTCATCCGCGTGAAGTTTGTCAATGACCTCGGGGTGGACGAGGCAGGGATTGATCAAGACGGTGTTTTCAAGGAGTTCTTAGAAGAGATCATCAAGAGGGTGTTTGACCCAGCACTCAACCTATTCAAGGTATTTAAAGGACACGAGAGCGTGGTTGACGGCAGCCAGATTCGAGGTGACAGATGAGAAGTGAAGGCCTTGCTTGTTGCAAGGCATTTAACTTCCCTGTCCCTACCTGTCCTTTTGCCTTGCAGACGACCAGTGGGGACGAGAGACTCTACCCTTCGCCTACGTCCTACATTCATGAGAATTACCTGCAGCTGTTTGAGTTTGTGGGCAAGATGCTGGGGAAAGCTGTGTATGAGGTAGGCATGTTAAGAACCAGTGAACAGGAATGGAAAATAAAATGTTCTAAGTACCATGGGCTTCATATACATGTAAGTGATCAGGTACATAGTGGCAACTGCCTGTCACAAGGATAAAGGTGAGGAGAGAGGAACGGGAACCAGCACCAACCGTGTTCTTGTCAGTGAAGCGGGGATAGTAGAGCTACGTTATTGGGTTGCTGTAGGTGGTAAATGAGGTAATACAGGTAAACATCTCCCATGGTGGCTGGCAGCTGGTCACAGGGGAAGTCGGAGCTGCCATCCTCACTGTTATTAGGAGGAAGGGTGTTTGAGCTTCTGCTCCCTGTGTCATGGGGCCGGGGTGGCGTGGCCTTCCGCAGGCTCTGGGCGAGCCCTCCCGGCTCCTGGTCCCTCTCCCCTGAGAGCCCACCAACTGGCAGGACTGCTTCCAGGTGGCGCTTTACCCCCTGCCCTGAGGATCCTGCTCCCCCGGAAGGAGGTAATGCTCCAGCTTGAGCTCATCAGCAGCCTGTCCCTGTGGCCTCACAGTGGACTCCAGAGCCGCAGGAGACCAGTCCCTCCCCAGCCTGCCTCACCCCCAGCGGCCGCCACCTGAGTAGTGCTCATGTCACACCCATCACAAAGCCCAGGGAGGCCAGGATGCCTTCCAGAGGCAAAGAAGCTATAGCGGGCCAGGCTGAGAGAGGAGGTCATGTGGGGTGAATATACTCTCTAGTCCATCATTCTCTCTGTGTAAACAGCCCCGGTCCACAGCCTCAGCCCTTGCTGTGATGATGTCAGGTGCCCCATGTGAGTCCAAGCACGCTCCAGGCCTCCTCCTGCCCTGGACTGGTTGGGTGGCCTGGGCTCATTCTCTGTGCTTCTGTTTCCACATCTGCAAAATGGAGACAATTTCTCAGTTGATTCCCCTTTTTTACAAACAAAACAAAACAAAACAAAACCCATAAGGCCCTGCCTGGGCATATGCCGTGTTTTTCCTTTGAACGTGTAGCTGTGATGAGACCCAGGAGAGGCTGGGCCAGCTGAAAAACACCACTCCCTCGCTTTGTCAATGTCCTCCCCCACTTCCTGGGCCTAGTCTCCGTCTCCTCCCTCTCCGGCAATAAGGACCTCCTGGGTCCTGATGAGGAGTGGCCTGTGTTAACTCACTTCACACTTGTCCTCAGGATAGGCCCGTCGTGGGGTTTGATTGGCTCTCCCTTCTCAGTCTCTCCAGCCCACACACCTCTCTCCACCCAGTACAGTCTGTCTGAAGTTCCTGGCGTTGTGCAAGGGCTTCCGGGCTGTGTCCCTGCCTCCAGGCCATTCCCCACAGGAAGTACCCATGTGGAGAGCCCTCCCAGGGCTCCCTGCTGCCCTATGGATAGAATCCAGACTCCAGGAGGTTTATGAGCTCTTCCTGATCTGCCCTGTTTGCCTCCCTGGCCTTCTCGCTCACCCCCTCCTTCACACCCTGTGCTGGGGCCAGACAGACCTGTGTTCCAGCCCTGGAGGGCACCTGTGAGCCTTGTACTAAAGGCCTCCTGCTCAGCTCTCCCTTCCTCCTGGAAACTTCCCCACCCTGCTTGTTTAACCCTTAAAACTGAGGCTCTTCTGGTCCCCATTGCCCCGTGGTCTAGCAGCAGCGGAGCTGAGGTGTGATCCCTGAGCTGTGCAGCTGCAAAGCCTGGGCCCTTAACCACTGTGTGGTAATGTCCCCAGGAGGCGCTCGACTGTGTTAAGGTGGTAGAGATGTATTGCTCTCCAGATTGAAAATTTAGGAAGTCTAGAGATGCCATTGGCGCCCTCGGAGCCCCATCTGCAGCCCGAGGCGCCCTGGGTGAGATCACCGAGACGGGCCGCTGGGCAGCAGGTGGCAGCTCCTGTCTCCTCTGTGGCAGGGAATTGTGGTGGACGTGCCCTTTGCGTCCTTCTTCCTGAGCCAGCTGCTCGGGCACCACCACAGTGTCTTCTACAGCTCTGTGGATGAACTGCCTTCTCTGGATTCCGAGTTCTATAAGAACCTCACTTCCATTAAGGTCAGTGTGGAAGGCGGCACGGCTCAACTGAGTGCCGGCGTGAACTCAGCCAAGTGGCACCCCGTGGGGTTCAGCTCTACCCCGTCGTCATGGGGTGGAGTGGGATTTCCTGCTGTGGTGAAGTGGCACACTCCTTAGCCACCGCAGGGCCTCATGTCCCCTCCTGAGCACTTCCTCCCGGGACTGATGCTCACAGCCTCCTTCCTCCAGGTGATGAGTGGCCTTTTCCTTTGTTTCAAGTTGTACGGCAGCCACAGTGGTAGCTGCCCAAGCCGATGTCATAGGCGGGGAGTGTTGAAACCTTCAAGGATGTAGCACTCCTTGGCCACTACATTGTCCCTTTCTCTGTTGCTTTAGCGGTACGATGGGGACATTGCTGACTTGGGCCTGACACTGTCATATGATGAGGATGTCATGGGTCAGGTAGGTGGGCCTCTGGCTGAACCTTGTTCCCCCTCCCCACTTTGGCTTCCTAAGACCTGCCCTAGTCTGGGTGTTTTCCCCAGGAGACCCACAGACTGGGGCTGTGTCTGTCTGTCTGTCCACCCTTCTCCTCTGCCTCTCCAGCCCCTTTGACACCCTGCCAGGAGGGAGGGCGCTCCCCTCCCCTTTCCGGCTGACCTGGCCTTGGCCTGCTCGCCACCCAGAGAGCTCCCACCGAGACCCTGCTCTGCTTCCAGGGCACTTTGGGGTCATTTCTGTTGGAAGCTGTGACTCCTACTTTGTACACTGCCTTTCGTTACCATGGTGAGGATTAGCTGTTCCAGAGGATCAGGACTGAGACATGGGGAAGGAACCACCTGACAGGGTGTGCCTCTAACAGAACCCTGTCCTTGCTCCTCCTCGGCATGGAGAGCAGAGCCGGGAAAAAAGACCCTTGAAGTCGTGGCAGCAGACGGGCTTCCCTCAGACTTTCTCTGTCCTGATTTTCCTTGCAGGGCTCCCAGCCCCTCCATTTGCATCCCCGGACCCCTGCATGAGCCCCAGTGTGCATGTGGTGTTAGGGCCGCTCTGGAGCTCGTAGTATAGGGCCGGCTTCCCAGGGCCTCAGCAAGGTCACTCAGTCTCCCTGAGCCACACTTTCCTTATCTCAACAAATAGCATTTGCCGAATTAGTCCTTGCTGGGACCAGTGTCAGCAGACGCCCTCTAGACCGCACGCCCTGTCCTCCTCCTGAAGAACCACTGAGCACGCTGGCACGTCAGGGCCCTAAGAAGCCCACGAGAAAGAAACCTGCTGTGGTTGTGTTAACCTCAACCTTTCCCAGCTCATTTGGTCATAGAACTCCTCTTTCAGGGAGGGCACACCACCTCACAGAGAGATTCTCCAGATGTTGGTGCACAGATCAGGAGTTCCCTGGAAACTATTGTGGGAAATACCAGGCTGGGCATTCCTAAGGGCCATCCAGCTTTAACATCCTGCGGCGTCATCCCCGAGATGTTGATAGCAGTGGGACTAGAGGGCACTGTTACTCCTTTCCAGGTCTCTAGAGTTACAGTATATTATGTTAGTAGAATTTCTATTAAAATTAGCTTTGAAATGATGCATTCTTTGATTTTTAGGCGACCCACAAGACTTCTTGAAGTTGAGGAAAGCAGTTGATTCTATAGCGTTTTTGAATCTTTAATCAGAGACTTTAATCTTTAATTTTGAGACTTCTTCCCGACATTCTTAATTTTCTGTCCTGACTATAAAAATAATGCAAACTTCTAACCAAAAATTCAGCTACAATAAAAGCATAAAGGTGAAAGTGAAAACCACCTATATTGCTGGTGCCTGGAGAGTACCACTGTTAACATGTGGCCTGAGCCTTTTTAAGTTTTCTCTCCCTGGGCACATATATAATTTTTTGCATACCTTGACTGCTGCTATATAATCTGCTCTTTCCCCCCAGCCTTTTCAAGAAATATACTTTTTCATCATATTTTTTAGTAGCGCCACTGTATTCCAAGGTATGGTTGTACCAGCATTTATTTATCTGTCCTCCTGTGCTCTTCATTGCTAACACGTTCCCCTCCACGACACCCCCGGAGCCTTAATACACACGTTTGTACGAGGATCAGATGAGAAGGAACCTGTCATTATTGATCATGCAGGGCCAGCTTGTTGATATTTAAGCCCTGGCTTTTTGTGAAAATGACTGTTCCCAAACGTGTCTCATCTTCCTCTGTCGCTATTGTGGATGTCGGCATCAGGCCCTTCCATCTTCAGGAAGCTTTATTTTCTCATTAGAATTCTCTTGAGTAATTGTTCCCCTTCCTCTCCCCCAGCTTGTTTGCCACGAACTGATTCCTGGAGGGAAGACCATTCCTGTTACAAATGAAAATAAGTGAGTATGGCAATTAGATTTTTAAGGTCACCACTTGAAAAGACTTCATTCTGGCTCTCTGGGCTTACTTTGAGAATTTATTAAGATAAATTGAAGTAGAAAGAGGCCATAAACATCATAATGGAATTTACTGGTTACAGTTCATAGGCCGAAATCGTATTAAATTCGATTTGCAAAATAAGAATTGACAATTTATATTTTGCAGTAGCACTTCTAAGGTCAGAGGCACCCAGGCTGTGGTGTTCCTAGGAATTTAATGACGGCTCTAGATGCAGACAGATGGGTTCTGAGCCGGTCGGGCACAAAGTCCTGAACCCAGAGGGCACGGAGGTGGAAAGACTCCTTGGAGGGGCAGATCATTTTGGAATGAGGATGTGTGGCAGTTGTATAAAACACTGTTCTTGAGAAGACACAGTGATGAATTCAGATGCAGCAGACAGGTCCTCAGACATGGGGAGACCCTGAGGCCCAGCAGCTCTTGTCACAGATAACAGGCTTTTAGGAATCAATCGTAAATGGTCCCTCAAAGCAAAGCCCCTCCATGCATGTCTCCACCCAGCCCTGTACTCATCTGATTAAACAGTAGGACCCGGCTCGAGGAGTAGATATTGGCCCTTTTGTCAGTCTGTCAATCTCCTGCCACTAGGCTCAGCCGAGCATCTGAACTGTTAATCTGAGCATCACTCTCTTCAGTGACAAGTGAGAGCTTAGTCCTATCCAGTGAGTCATTTGGATCAGATGCACCTCACAGCCCAGTGTCCCCAAGCATCGTGTCCCTCTCGGGTCAGATCAGTCAGTCCACGTGCTCGGGGAGCTTTTATTTGGACTGTCAGAATAGTCAGGAGAGCAGACCCAATTCTCATCATGATTGAAATACACCCATTTTGACTCTTGGCCACGGGGCCTTAGAGTGACAGAAAGAACAGGGGCCACAGGGTGGGTGGAAGCTGCCTGGGGGTGTCAGAGAGCAGGGTGGGTCCTGAGCCTGCCCACCGTGTGCCTGTAATCATCCCTTCAGAGGGTTTCACATGAGAATACATGTAAAGTACCTTCCAGGATGTCTGGCTCAAAGGAGGCCCTTTATAAGTGAGAGTAGTGATCTCACCATCATCAGATATGTTACCCTCAGATGGGCCCTGTTTTGCCAGGCATGGCACGGGGATGATGGTAGGAGCCGGATGTACAGCAGCCAGTGGAGGTGGGTTGATACAGCCTGGGTTGGAGTGAGGTTCCTGTCCTGCCTGGAAACCTACGTGGAAAGTCATTTCACAAACTCTTACGTGTTCTTAGCATAATACCTCAGTATAAGGGCAAGGACGTTCAGTCCTTCAGACTCTTAAAAGGCCTGACATCACCAGGACCTGCTCCTGCAAAGATACTTGAGCTTGCACTTCCTGGGTGTTCGATGGGAAAGTCTCTGAGGCTCCCTCCCTCTTTTGGTAAAATGGAACAGTATTAGTCACCTGCTTCAACGAGTACATGAAAGAAATAGCAGTGATAGAAAAAAATCATATTTAAGTATATCAGTGTGCAAGCTTGCCACTGGAAGCTTATTTTAAATAGGCATATTTTCCAGGTCAGTAACTCAGATCTGAGCATCGTGGGGTAAAACAGATTTATTTGGACTGTACTAATTTGGAATTTTGAGAGTTGTACCTGGGCTGGGCTCACATTCTTTCATCTGAATAAATGGTTTGCTAAGAAATCAGCAATGCTGGCAAGCCTGTGAAAAGGGATTTCACCTGGGCAGAAGCATTGCACTGTGCCGTGCAGCTGCAGGTGAACTACTTGTGTTGGTGAAAGCAGACCTGGAAGACCGGCTGCTTGGAACCGTTGTTAGTGCTCCAACTTCCTCATCAAGCCTAATCGTCAGCCAGCTGCGTGTGGTTAAAACTTTCCGCAGCCTTACCTTCTCATGGCCTAGACTCCTTGTCCAGTCTAGCAAGGTTTTGGTTGAAGTTTCAACATGAAACAATTTTTCTCTGGAGGACTGAACAGTATCTTAATTGGTTTATGTCCAAAAGGATGAAGTTAAATAAAAGTCCCTTTGTCCTAAGAAGGGCCCTCTCCTTAGCTGGAGAATGCCTCACTTTGATTCTTGACAGTGAGGTTACCCCAATGTCTGACCCACTGGCTTTTGGGAGGACTGCATGAGGTGACGCCCTTGACACTAACGCTTTCACAGTGGCACACCGTGGGCCGTTCAGGAGGGCTGTCATCCTCATCGCCATTGTTCTGGTGAAGTGCTCTGGTGCTACTTGTGTTTTTGTAAAATGGTTCAGAACTGACTGGACTCATCTTTCAGCCCATCAGCAACTGCCCACCCTGTCCTGTTAATTTCCGTTGTTTTCCCTTGTTGGCAACAGAATTAGCTACATCCATCTGATGGCCCACTTTCGAATGCACACTCAAATCAAGAACCAGACAGCTGCCCTCATTAGTGGATTCCGTTCCATCATCAAACCTGAGTGGACCCGGATGTTCTCGACCCCTGAGCTACAGCGACTCATCTCCGGGGACAATGCTGAGATCGATCTGGAAGATTTAAAGTAAGGAGTGAGTGCAGGGGCAAGGTTGAAATTCTTAGGCCTCCAAGAAAGCAAGCTGCTCCTTTGCTGGGTTCCTTTTGGAGAGTTTTCAGGGTCCTGTCTCCAGATGGACTCCTCCTCCCTGATCTCTGGGTGAGTTGTTTTGGAAGAAAAGCTCAAGCCCTTGTCTGCCTGGAGACTGAGAAGCAGAAGCAGAGCTTGAGGCCCGTGGGGCTCTCCAAAGTCCTAGGAAACAGTGGTGCAGGGTCTCCTGTCAGCTTCTGCTGGGAAACAACAGGGCCTACAATGCAACGCTCCACCCACTGAGCTTCCGGGACCTGGGGTTACTAAGGCATGAACTTCTGGCTTAAGAGAAGTTTGTCGTCACCCAGGCTGGCCAGAGTTTGCTGTGCCGCTTGTCTAAATTCCATGCCTGCCTGTGTCTGTAAGCGCCCGTCAGAATGTGTGGTTGAGCCCTTGTCTGCATTGTTTTCAGGAAGCACACAGTGTACTACGGTGGTTTCCATGGAAGTCATAGGGTCATTATCTGGCTCTGGGATATCCTGGCCTCTGACTTCACGCCCGACGAGAGAGCCATGTTTCTGAAGGTATTTCATATGTTATCTATACGTGCAGGGGGACAATTCCAGAAGTTGATTCTCAAGAGAACCAGTTTTTCCAACAGGGCCTCTTGTAGGCATAACAATCTCTGCCAACCTGTAGAGCTGCTTACCCCCCTCTCCTAGAAAGAGGAAAGCTGCTCTCTCCTAACCACGTGGTCAGTGCCCCTCACAGCAGGCATATTTATGTCTCTGGGTGGCCTGTCACCACACCTGCAGTTCCTTGCCCTGTGCCTGCCCTTTTCTGTGGCTGCAGACAGCCCCAGAGCCAGGGGGAAGCCACAGAACTGTTGTACAGGAGAGAATGTGACTGTACTTTCTTTAAATATAGTGATAGCAGAGCCCCAAGGCTCTCCCTGCCCTCCAATCCTCCTCCTGTCCCAGGAGACTGACCACCCCTCCCTCCCTAGACCAGCTCTGGCTGGCAGCGGGCAGCAGGCCTGATCAGCCTGACCTGGGAGGGGCATAGACTCACCTGCGTCTGTTTCCTCATCCTTCAAACGGGTCGAGTCACACAGCACCTGTGGTATGATTAGCTGAGCTCGGGTTCACAGAGGACACAGCACAGTGTGGAAATGCTTCTAAATAGGATCTGCTGCTGCGGTCTTTATGGTGGAAAATACAGGATATTAAGATAGTAAGATATCTTGGCAATACTTCTTGTAAAAACCGTTTTTGAAGCATGACACGTAAACTTTTTGGATCGTCTCAGGAATCTCACTACCATTTATGACATTGTTTAAATGGTAATATTTATTTTAAGACCTAAACACTCAGCCTGACATGGAGTTTTGAAACACAGCTCAGTGTTGTAAGTAGCAGGTCCCTAGGTCCCCTGGAGAAGGGAGAGCGTTGGGCTAATGTTGAACTAAAGAAAGCGAACGGTTTCTTAGGACTTCCCTGTGCAGGTTAAGCACTTGGATTTCCAGGTGGGTAGATGCCTCTGTCCAGGCAGGACTAGTCATTTTGGGAAATGACACAGGAGCTACCATCTGGAAAATGCAAGGAATTCCAAGAGTGTAGCAAGGAAGCGAGGCTGGCTGCCCACAGGCCCCATTTGGGGCATCCAGTACCTTGGTCTGCCCTCAGCCCTGCTGGCTCCTGAGGTCTGGTTTTTGTTAGCGTGCTGAGAGGAGATTAGGAACCAAGCTCACAGGGGCTGCCCGGCAACCCAGCAGGCCCGTGTGCACATCCTCTGTGCGTGGCGATGAAGCCGAGCGGCAAGGCAGGTGCAGAGCGAGCACTCACAATTGGTGGTGTGCTGCGTGCCCCTGGCCTCGGCCCTTGGCTCAGGCCTCCCCCTGACACGCTTAGTGGGCCCACCGGCTCCTCCCTCTCTGGTGCTCTTGTCGAGTGGTCTCTCCCTGAGGATGGCGTCAGCCAGGCCCACTCTGACTCCCGGCCCTGCTTTGTGTTGTAGTTTGTGACCAGCTGCTCCAGGCCCCCGCTCCTGGGATTTGCCTACCTCAAGCCTCCCTTCTCCATCCGCTGTGTGGAAGTGTCGGATGATCAGGTACCGCTGCTGGGAAGATCCGGCCCCTCTTGGTGGGGTCTGCTGCACCTACCGGGTGGGGCGCTTACCCAGTCATATCCACAGGGTGGGCAGCCAGGCCCCTTGGCCGGGTGAGAAGGTGTCGCGGTTCTCGGGCCAGGAGCACAGGTGGGCCACTTTGGGGCCTCAGCCCTCCTGGAGGTCCCTTTCTCGTTACTCCCTCAGGGAAGAATACCTGCGGGGCATTTTTCGTAGCTGCTGGTACAGGTCTGAGCGGCAGTGTGGGAGAGGGGTTGGAACGTGGGCTCAGGAATTGGACAAGCGCAGGCTTCAACTCCTCCACCTGCCGGCTGTGCACACCTGGGTACGCGGCCTCATTCCCTCCTCTGCAGAGGGAGAGTGGACGCCCTAGGGGTTATCGTGTTCTGTGTGCCACAAGCCTGACCCATAATGGGTGCTCAGATGGTAGCCGTTGTTATAAGTTTCTCACCCCCCACAAAAACCCAGTGGCCTCTGAGTGTAGCTGCCTTCCATGATACCACCGCCCTCACGCCGATCCCTCCTCTTAGGTGACACTAGACGACCCTCAGCCCCCTTACTTAAGGAAGGCTGCCCCAAGTTACAGTCTGTCGCAAGCCGCAGCGCTGGCAAGGTCAGGAAGGAGTTTGTTACCATAGCATTTTTACAGTGTTCCAGCTCTTTGCACATTGGTTTACCAATGGTTAGCAATTAAACCAGAGGTCCTGTTTCCAAGTGCTGCTTCATGCAGGCTTCCGCCCTGCAGGACCCCAGAGCCAGGCTTGCTTCTGTGCACCCACCTCTCCAGGCTGGTTGTCCTCTGCAGGGGGCTGGCCGGTCCAGCCCTCTCCCCAGGCGCCCCCCAACCTGAGGCTGTGGGGTGTGCTTGCAGGACACCGGCGACACCCTGGGCAGCGTCCTGCGTGGCTTCTTTACCATCCGCAAACGGGAGCCAGGTGGCCGCCTGCCCACCTCCTCCACC